ACACACACACACACACACACACACACACACACAGTATGCAAATGAAGCGCAAATCAAGCGGAAAACAGGAAACAGCTGTTGAAAAGTCGCCGCTCTGGGCTAACCTCTCGCTCATCTGCGGACTTCCCTGCCGTTCAAACTCGCATGTGCGCCATCCATCCATTTTCTATATGGTTTATCGTCTCAAGAGTCACTGATATCGGGAGAGAGGGGCAGGGTCCACCCTGGACTGGTCGCCATCCTGTCTGAGGCTGCCAACAACCATTCACATTCAAGACCATTCAAAGCCTTCAAATATATGAGGAAAAATTAGATCCCAACCGATTTAATGCTTTGTGATTCGCTATTTCCCCCAATGACTGATTATTAACTGATTTGTTATTTGATTCTGAAACAAAACCCAACGTGCGAGCTACTTCTCGGGTATTGATTTCTGCAAAGGTTTACTAATTTGGTATGCGACGAGAGATGTCAGAAAAGAGGCATCAATGTTATTCGAAGGTTTTGATGAAAACACAAAATGCAAATGAGCTTGCTTTCACGAAAGACTTCAACAACAGAAATCGGATTCATTACTGTTGAAAGGATGAAATCGGATTTGGACACGTTAAAGTTCCAGAAATGCGCTCAACGATGAATCACTTATCAAAAGAGTTGTCGATTGATTTTTCATCAATTTGTCATCAACTCATTTTGACACCTCTTGTGAAATCCTTCATCCTGTGACATAACTTGAATTTCCTTTTTGTGAATGACACTGATATGCCTTCCTCGCTACTTTGGGTCATTCCTCACATCAGCATTTTGAGGGCTCTTTCAAAACGCACAGGATATATTCACGTCACAAAAGTTCTTTCAGGGAAAAAAAACAAACAAAATGTTCACGTTTTTCTGTTCTTCGGTTTCAGTTTCTGACCAAAGAGCAGAGAAAACAAGCTTTTGTGCTTAAAAAAAAAAAAGAACAGTGACTTGGATGCTACTTTTTGCTTTTGTGACACCTCAAACAATGAAACAAACCCAAAAGTCAGAAGGGGCTTTTGATGGCAACTGAAAAATGCAGGTGCCTTTTTTTTTTATTGTTTTACATGGGGTTAGCCATTGGCTTCATGAGCGTGACGCGACATCAAACATCTCTCCGGGACATTTATACGGGTCCGGGTAGCTGGCGTTTTTTTCTGAAAGACATCCTTGCCCTCTAGACAAGATTCCACTCTCTCCTCAAAACACATGTGCTGTTTTTCGCCGATCAAACTCATTTGAATGAGCTCACGGGGCTCCGGAAAATCCCCTTCGGTGCTCGCCTTTGCTTTGCGAACATCTGATCTCTCGGCAAAGTCGGCCGGGATGGAGTCCTCAAACGTTTGGGAGTGAAAAATGGCCACATGGCAACGGCGAGAAAGTCTGAACTCGAGAGGAGAACAAGAAGACGCTGCCAAAGGAGCGCATGACGAGGCCGCTGCCGCCGCAGCTGCACGCAATCACATTCGAGCCTCTCTTCGCCCCAAAAATGCTCGTCGGTCTTTAATCCGCAGCGACATGTGATGTGTGGCCATCGCCCGACAAAACGCACTCGCATGGAAGACGTACACCAGCGGGACATTTACAAATCGGCAACCTGTTCCACATTTCGACCGTGTCAAGTTTCCAAACATTCCACTAAGAAAGCCTTTCAAGCTGGCTGCTCGTCGGAACTGCGAGATGAGGTTTTGTTTTTTTTTCCTCTGAATCCCGCGCAGCTGTTCTCAATCACAGCAGCGTTCAGGTTGAGAAAAAACACGATCAAAACTTTCACCTCGTTCGGAAGGATGCGCTTATTAATAACTGCCAATGAGATCTGTTCATGTCCTTTGGGAATCCATTCCAGATATTTATTTGATGACATTTTTCTCCACGTCGTAAAGAAAAGGACTGAAAGGGGGCTGGCAGCGAACGAGTTAAAATGGTTCCGTGAGCGAGGAGTACATTTTTGTCTTCTGCTGTCTCGTTTCCAGCTGAGGGGGCGTGTCTGTGTTTGACTGACAGAGGCAGCAGGGGCGTGTTTCTCTTGCCATGTTTGACGGGCAAATACTGGAGAAGGGCCGCGGACGCGGCCGGGCTCGACTGACAGCCGTTGGCAGAGGCGTGTGGACGTGATCGTTCCGACCAATGAATTGACCGGACCGATTTCATCATATTAGCGCTTTGAAAAATCTGCCCCAAATTTTTTTCTTACAGATTTTTTTGAAATATCCTTTTTTTTTTTTTTTTTTAAATACGCCAACACATTACAACAGAAGACAAAGATAATTACACCCCCCCCCAAAAAAATCGGTTGATTCTTCTCACTGAAGTAACGTGAAAACATGAAACCAGTCAAATCAGATGCCTGTCATGCATATCTTCGTTGTAGTAAACATAATGTAATAATTTTTTTTGGAATAATTGGCTGATTAATCAGTCACTGAACTTCTACTCTGCCAAATATCAACCACAAAAAAAAAAAAAAAATCTAGATCAATGAGCATGATGGAAGGTGTCGAAGTGTCCATATTTGATTGACAGGTGCTGCATGGGCCTGCTGTCCGTAGCTCCCATTGATTGACAGCTACTTTGTGGGCGTGTCAGTATCTACGATTGATTGACACGTAACGAAGAGTTTTCAGTGCCAGTGTTTGATTGATGGGCGGTACCTGTGTGCCAACGGTGAGGTTTGACAGTCAGTTTCTGCACGCCCATGATCGATTGACAGATCCTGTCTCAGCGGTTTGGGTGGGGGTTGACTGTCCGTGTTTGATTGACAGCTACCGCATGTCAGCGGCTATGACCGATTGACATGGGCCCGCTGGAAGGGGCGTCTGTGTCTGTTATTTGGCTGACGGCGTCTGCAAAGGGCATACCAAGCGACTATTTGACTGGCAGATGTTGCATCGGCGTGCCCCTGCCTGCAAGCGACGAAACGATGATGTCATAAAGTCCAGCGGACTGGAGGCCAGCGCCCCCGGGACCACATGGTCACATTTGTGGCATGTGGCAGCGGGAGGGAACGGTGGTGGTGGTGGTTTGTACAAAGACACGCATTGTCACATGGGTGACATAACGCTAATCCGATTGGACGAGAGAAGCGGGGAGAGAAAGAGAGAGCGAATTGTTCCAATGGGTGGATATGATAACGTGGGGCCGGTTATGTAACATCCAGGAAGGTGGCGGCGCAGTCAGGGGGGATTGAAGGGGTCTCGGTTGGGCAAATAAAATCCGACCCAGGCAGCGGAAATCAGCTCTAACAACAGAAGTTCTCAAATAAAAGCAGCATCCTAACGTGATTGAAACGTGATTGAAAACATTGCACTATACACACACTGACACACACAAACATGAGCGAAACGCTGCGGTATCTTGAGTTTTCCGATATTCCCCGATAGTGTACGTATCGTAGCTCCGCGGGAGAGCAGCTGAAGTAACGGGCATTCCTTTTGTCGCCATTTTGTTTGTTTGCGCCCGCCACGTCTCGTCTCTTGTGTGTTTGGCCCCCGCCACGTCTCGTCTCTCGTCATAAGTAGGAGGGCGCCGTCTTTCGATTGGTCACTGCTGAGGAACAAATCGAAGGACGGCGCAGGACACGTTACTCTATGTGGCAAGACAAACACAAATTCTGGCATTCGTCATGTTGGTCATGAAGCACCCCCAACCCCATCTTCAAACTTTCGCCCTGGCTTGGGACCCTTCTTGAACAGCCTATCCCCGAGTTGGAACACTATTTGGAAGGCCTGACTCTTGTTTGAAACGCCAACCATGGTTTGAAATCATCCGAATCTGGAACCTGAACACGGGGTCAAAACCCTCATTTGAAAAACCTAGCCCATGTGTGAAACCTGAACCCTGACTACAAAACCCTCATTTGAAACCAGAACCCTGGCTCGAAACCCAGATACAGGGTTGAAACCCTCATTTGAAAATCCAATCATTGTTTGAAACCTTAAGCCCAACTGAAAACCCCAGTTTGAAACCCTAGTGCTGTCTTAAAAACTGACTTCCAAAGCTCAGTACTCATTGGAAACCCGTTTCCACCTTGAAACCTTCCTTTGAAATCCTAACCCTGGCCTGAAACTAGAGCTGAACAACTCATGGAATTCAAATCGACATCACGGTGAAGTAGAATCCCATTTTCAAATGGCAAAAGGCTCCACTTGGGTTCCTTTTAGCTCAGCTTGCAAACTTCACACGATCAAACTCACAAAACAGGTGAGCCCTGAGTGGTCGTCACCTGAGGAAGTAACAAAATGGCTGCCCCTGCCATGGATAGGAAATTGGGCATTTTGCAGCTAAATTCATATTCCACAAACAAAGGATTAATCAGAATACCATGGTTGGATGAGCGGGTCCGCGTAGAACATCTTAACGAGAAGAACGTTTTTGATGTGACTTCCCTTTAGTGAATTTTGACTTCTGGTTAACCCACACTTGTTTGGTGGCATTTTGCGAAGCTGTTGTAATGAACGTTTCAAAGACCGCCAGTCAAAACGTTTCCCAAATTAACAACAGTAATTGAAGTCGATTAAAAAAACTGCCTTTCATATTAATTTGTGGTTCATTTGCCTTCATTCATCCATCAATCCATGATCTGATCCACTTATGCTGACAAGGGTCACGGAGAGTTGAGTTGACTTATTCTGACAAGGGTCGCGGAGAGTACCGGGAGAAAACCCACGCTTGCACGGGGAGAACATGCAAATTATTCCACACAAGAAGGCCGCAGGCCGGATTCGAACCCACGACCTCGGCACTGTAAGACGGGCGTGCTAACCAGTCTCACAAATTTGCCTTAATCGTTGCTTAACCTCAAGCGAGAGGGGGGAAAATGTCTGTATCCTAAATATGATTGTTATTTTTTTTTTTTTTTTGTAAAAGAGATGAATTCATTGTTTGTGTCTGTTGAAAAAGACATTCAAAAACTTGCGTTTGGACCACATTTGGTGTTAAAAAAGTGACCTGGAGGAGGAAGCGACGAAGTCTCCGTCCAGCAGGCGAACTTTGCAGAAGAGAACCCCGTTGACGAACGGCACAGCGCTCAGCTCCTCCAGCGTCAGATGAGTCTGGAACTTGAATTTCTTCTTTTTCGCGAAGAACGCCATTCCACTGCTCTCTTCTGTCGACACTTGGGTCGCGTGAAAAGCCCTCAACACAACAAAAGCACTCCGGAAGAGAATTTAATGGTGGCGTCTTATTCCAGCTTTGGGCGAGAAGCAGCCCGCTCCTCTTCTTTCGTCGTGCTCCCCGGCGGCGATTCGATGCAGAAATCTGGAGAAAGAAAAAGAAAAGACCGTGCTCAAGTCGACATTTGGCACTTAAGGAGACACAATATTTTGATAGGCTTGTTAAAAAAAAAGTGAGGCGGGAAGGCCCACCTGGAGACATTTCTGCTCGCCGCAACGATTCTCCCAAACAAATGATACAAAACAGCACTTTTTCCACACTGCGAACAGGATTAATCCAGCCAGCGGGGTCTCGGATCAGGCTAACACAGCAAATGACTCGCATTCCGGTTTTGCTTTCAAAACAAGAAAAGTGTTAGTCAGACCCACACAATGAACATGAACGTCGCCTTTAAATTACAAATAATCACACATAGATGTGTCGTTGCTCTGAAATCACATTCATTTTAATTCTTACAAAGACACATAGCAGTTGTCGAATCTCGTAACTTTTATTTTTTTATGGACAAATGACACAATTTCCGTGTATTTATGTCGTAACCCTTCCTGACTTGATTTTGAAGGTTCCCAGGAACTGACAAATCAAAGGCAACAGAATCTCTCAATCAAAGCGCGGCCTCAAAGCGCTAAAACAGCGCCCTTTAGTGGCTGACACCCGCATGTGCTATTTTGAACAAGCCATACGAATACAAACAGTTCGGCGCGATACATAAACCTTCGTCTTTACATTGAATTCCCAATTTTAAACATTACCCCAAATTACTTAAATTAAATTAAAACCCTCAAAGTGACTTCAAACTTAACCCCAGTTTGACACCCCAATTTAAAACATTTGCCTTTGTTAGAAATCCTTCGAAAATGTCTTGGAACCAGAGTTTGGAGCCTACACGTTTGCTTAATATCTGAATCCTGTCTTGATTATTTACTTGAAACCCTAATTGTGGCCTGAGGTCACCATTATAAAACCTAAATTGTCAGCTGAAACCCGGACTGCCTCATAGACCTGTTTTAACACTGCCCAGCACGTCGCACATCCCTGGTGGTCTAGTGGCTAGGATTCGGCGCTCTCACCGCCGCGGCCCGGGTTCGATTCCCGGTCAGGGAAGGAAAGCTTTTGAAGCGTATGACCACATGATCTTTGGTCGTACCCTGGAAGAAGATGGTATCTCTCGTGTGGTGATTTCAGTGGCATGTAGGGGTCGTAAGTGTTGCTGATTATTCTTCCTGCTTTTTCATGATATCTTAAAATGTTGGCTCCCTTGGACGCCTCAAAATGGATCTGCTTAATTCTTATTCTACAAACCCAATATTAATCAGAACACTGTACTGTGTTTAGACGAGTGGGAGTGGGGGGGAGGCATAGAACATATTGTAAATGCAATTTTCGATTTGCTTCCATGTTAAGACTGTCATCTCATCTCATGTACTGACACTTTTTTTTTTAACCTAAATAATTTTTTGTTGACCACTCTTGTGGTACATTCACGTGTACATTATAGGATTCTGTTTACTTGTCTTAATATTGCTGGTGCTTCATAGACCAGACTATTGATACCCATATTGTTATTCAAACATCCCAAAATATATTCTGATGATTACAGTAGTTGCATGTATAATTGTTTTTTGCGACGCAGCACTGCTGTTTTCTTGCTGCTTTTTGTTCACATTCAGTGGATATAGTATAGTATCCTATTTATACAGTGTACGATTTATCATATTTAGACTACCTAGCGAAACATATAAAGCTTTTTTTTAATATACATATAATGCTGCCTCGTTTTATTTTCTCATTTTTGGGTGCGGAATCCCAGAGTTGTCCACCGTGTCGCCCCATTACAGGAGTAAATGCTAATTCTCTTATATGATGGCTGAAAAGCACATACAGTATGTACTGTCTGTATCTAAACATTTATGGACGTTGTCATTCATTACTTCGTGTTGGTCACTAGAACACCTTGTTGTTGACTTCTTGTCTCGGGATGAACCAGTACAAAAACATCCTAAAGTGTCATTTTGTGCGTCAAAACAAACTAGCCTGCTGTCAAATGCTGCCCCCACCATCTGCCCTCACCTGTACAGGGGTGTTTGTGCGGCTCTGCAGGTTAAAGTGCGACCACTGCAGTGGTGTGACGCAAATGAAACGTCAACAACAAAACGGTTACTGTGAGGCAAGACAACACATCTCTGATGAATTAGGAACCTCTCGGAGATTGATACCTTTGACCCAAGTACAAGGCCATTAAATAGAATGTACGTTTACCACATATTCTTTTAATTAATTAAATGTACAAAAGAAAAATCGGATGAAAACAGCAAACCGCCCTGGGGCTGCTGTTTCATGTGGTTAGTCAAATATGTTACCGTTGAATAGAAAACAGTCTCCACCAAATGTGAACAACTTTGCTCTCTTTCTTTTTCTGGCATTTGGAGTTCAACCTGTTTCTCCTTCCACATCAAGGCATTAAGACATGATGCGGACACAAGACCAAGTGACATAACACGGCGCACACAGTTAAATCAGTTGACAACTCCAGAGTGAGACAAGGACAGAATTGCTGAGATAAGAGAGGGGATTATGAGAACTGGACTTGGGCGTGTTCTCATTAGTCTGATTAACCCTGCAGAATCTTAAAATATGGGTGACTCCGGAAAATATGACTGATGACTGAATTGCAAAATCACGTTGTTTTCTTTATTGTTGTGCTTTGTTTTGAGTTTCATTTGAATCCCCTAGTAATACAAGAGAAGACGTTTTCCCTGGTCACTAATCGTTTCTTTAAACAATAGTGCACAACTAACAAACGTTGCCACAATATGTAAAGTTGTGCAAGACTAAATATCACTGTTGAAATAAAAAAAAAAAGAGAGTGCAGAAAAATTGCAGCCGTTTTCTCATAGCCATCTTTTGTTTCTTGTTTTCGTGTAGCGATTTTCATCATTGTACCTTTATTGGCCCTCCATTGATTAATTAGTATTTTTCTTTGGGGCCTGTGTCAGCTGAGGGAGCTTCTGGCAGTCTTTGAATGAAAGGACACACCTAATTGGTTCATCGTTGACACGTTGACCAGACCAGAAGCGAGTACAGGATTGGTCTACAAAACGCCAATCCTTACGCAACTTTTAAGGCGGGACCAATCCAAGCCAGTCAATGAGCAAGCCTGCCGATTGGCCCAATGGTAAAAAGACTTCGATGCCGGGTGGTGAGAAGTGCCGAGACAGCCAATGACTTGCCACTATTACGCTAAGGGGCGGGGCATTACGAAATTCTCATGAAGCCGGCGTCTTGTGACTCACCGGCATTTCGGTCGTCCACCGGGAAGGAGTAGCTATCTCTCCTCTATTTAATTTATTTATTGTAGCTCACTTTGCAATTGAAGGAACCCAACATGCTTGCCCTGTGCCTTTACGTCCCCGTATCCAACTCCGACCCGGTGGAAGTGGACTACTTCGAGTCGAACGGACTTCCGACCGAACTCAATTCGCTCTTCAACAAACTGAGCGTGTTTCTGCCGTCCCAGGAGTTTTCAACCTACCAAAGATGGCGAAAAGTAAGAAATAAACCGTGTAAATATTTACGCATAGCGGCGCTTGTGATAATACTGACTAGCCACTTCGTGCTTCGTCCTTTCATGGATTGTGTCTGGGACTCTGGGCGCCGGCCGGTTTAGCATAGCTGAAATAGCTGAAGCCTTACGACTAGGCCGCGAAGCTCGCCGTGCTCCAGGTGCCACGACGTTGTCGTTGCCCCCCCACATCTTCACAAATCCTAATTTTAACAATTTAAAAGTTTTAGAAAATGTTTATATACGTGTACAGTGCAGATATAATGACTATCCGCCCCGTTCAAACGCTTTTTTTCTTTAAATAACGTAGGGCGGGAGCGTCCACCCTTCCGTGGAAGCCGCCTTCTCATTCATTGCATTTGTGACGTCACGGAGCGCCTTTCAAATAGATTCGAGCAAGAAATGTAAGCAAAATAAAGTCTTAAGTTGGTGTATGTATAGTTTGTGATGTGGTTTTAGGTTAATGAAAATGAACGTCCTGCCGCACCTTAAAAAGCTGCATTTCCCTGTAATTTGCATACCAAGGAAAATTGTTGGGGAAAATTTTCCCATTGCAAGAAGGATTTTGTTAGCAGCTGATTTTCATGCTTAAAAGTTGACATTCATCCTCCCTCTGCGTGCGTGCGATTACTGCCTGACAAGTCGGGCCGGGTCGGGTGTGATATTGCGTCAAAGGGACAGCGACCTGCTCTCGATTTAGTTTGAGACGGGATTACCGGTGTTGGCGGCGGACCTCTGCGGCTCTCAGGTCAAAGATAGAGCAGTCATCGTGTCACTCGAGGCCGGATAAATGGGTCACGGTGGCAACACTGGACTTTAAATGGATATTAGAAACACCAACATCCATTCCATCTGTCTGTGTGTGACCTGCAGAAAACCCAAGAGAGGGACGCCAAGATGTCTGACGACCAGCTGGATTTTGAGGAATTTGTGCACTACTTGCAGGACTACGAGAAGGATCTGAAGCTGGTGCTAAAGCCCCTGGACAAGAGGAATGCAGGTGAGTGTCTCACATTTCCCCCGAGAACCCCGACTCCAACTGGCTTTGTATTAAACCCATTTTCATTTTTTTCAAGGCCGAGTGGACAGCAAGGAATTCATCCAGGCTCTCCAAGACATCGGCGTGCACATTTCCCATCACCTCGCCGAGAAAGCCCTTAAGAGGTAGCTGAATGGACTCTCAAATTGTGTGTGTGTGTGTTTGTACAGATCAAGGAGTTGAATGTGCTCATTTGTCTTTTAGCATGGACAAGAACGGCATCATAACCATCAGCAGTAAAGAATGGAGCAAGTACCCCACCGTGGAGAAGACCGAGGGCATTCCCGAGATCATCCTGTACTGGAAGCACTCCACGGTGAGTTGCACAAGCGCTCTTACTTCGACTGTGTCGGTACATGCAAGGATATTTTCCACAGGGCATATGTTTTTATGCGTTTTGTCCCTTTGCCCTTAAAACTGGGCTTTTCGAAAATTTCAGGGTTTTGATTGGCTCAAACGTTTCAAAAAAGTTGTATAAAACCTCTGGTCGCATTTTAATATACCCGAAATCTTGTGAAATATCTCATATTGACCCATAAAGTTTGTCAGACTTTCCTTATTTTAAGATGTCAAAATACATTTTCAGGTGGTGGTATTTCTCTTATTTAGCAAAGTAAAACTTACACCATCTGGCCATAAACTTTGTTATCCCAGGTAGACACTGTGTTAACCTGTTTTTTTTTTTTTAATCAGATGGCCTATTTTGGCATGATTAGCCGTTCTTTATTGGCTCCAAAGTGCACCTTCCTGTCCCGGCTAAACGGGCCAATAAGAAGGACAGCGACCTGCGCGTCAGCGCATAATCTCCGGTGGGATTATGTGTGCTGTTATGTAAATACATCAAAGTGCCCCCCAAAGAGAACAGCTGATGACTGTTAAGAGGCTTCCATGGGTGGTGACAACGAGCACCTAATGTAATAAGAAGTGCCTTTTTTAACCTGTTAATTGGCACATTAGGGTTACTGGTTGACTGTGCTGTGCTTTGGCCTTTTGCGGGCATCCACTGGACCCTGCTAACCAAGGCATCACGATGATCCCTTGACGGTGCCAATGACAACAAAGCTATTGCACAGTGTGACCTTTACTCAAGGATATGGAACGTGCTCGGTCCTCTTGCACTAATGTTTGATTGAAGGCAGATGATAGAAGGTGGTTGTTTTTGCCCTGATCCACTCCCACCCGAACAAGTGCATTTCGACACAAGTACACATATTTGCGTGTGCTAAGTAGTAATTTCATAGCACATTAAGGAATTGAGGTCGGATGATGACACATTTTGAATGTGCAGGACATTTTCATTCCATTTATTTACCTCACCTAACACTCGGTGATAACATTTGCACAGTGAAAGCCTGCACGTTGTAAAATTTTACACACATTATATGATGCATACTGTGTTTATTTTAACACTGTTTTGTGCTGCGTACCTTTTGAAAGAGAAAGGGAAGCGTTTCTGACCAGATTAGAAACGATCGAGTGCCTCAGTCCTTTATCATCCTGCATTTTATGCCTACAGAAAGCCACAGCTCAATGTTCTTTTTATAACACGCATCCTTGTCTCTTGCAGATCTTTGATGTGGGCGAGAACCTGATGGTCCCCGATGACTTCAGCACAGAGGAGAAGCAGAGTGGCACTTGGTGGCGCCACCTGGTGGCGGGCGGCGGAGCGGGCGCCGTTTCCAGGACGTGCACGGCGCCTCTGGATCGCGTCAAAGTCATGATGCAGGTAAGGCGGTCGTGTACGGCAACTCGGGGGGGAAAGTGGGGCAAGCCGGTCAGATGTTGCAAAAGTGGTTTTGCGTCATTGTCTTACGATAAAATCAGAGTTAATGTTTAATTGGAAGAGGGGAGGCAGAGTCCGAGGTCGACGCACCGTGGCGTGAAATCGCTTCGTGCGTCATTGCCGGGCCAAAGTTCCTCACGTGGGTCTGTGGCCTCCAGTTGGCGGCACAAGCTCAACTTTCACCCACGGCGATGACGATTTTGACACCAAGACTAAACATTGCGTTTTTAAACACAAATGTTGTAACCAAAACTTGTACCGTAATAACCAAAGTCCACTAGCTTAATGTTAAGATCATGTGGAGAACCCTCAAACCAGCTCAAGAAATTAGCAAAGATATGTTACGGTAATGATAGTTTTTGCTACTTCACGTGGGTGAACATACGGTAATCGGGCATTGAGAAGCCTTTTTACATAAAGGGTTAGAATGTTGGGGTGTCCAAAGTTGGTCCTTGTGGGCCGCCGTCATGCCGGTTTTCCAGCTCTCTCAGGAGCAACATACCTAATTCAAATCTTCAGGATGGGTCTAATGCCGCTTCCGAGTTGGCCGATGAGCTGATCATCTGAACAGTTAGAGCAACTGTACTCGAGCATAGAGAAGAAAAGCGTTTTTGAAGACCACCGCTGTCCCTCAGCTGTGCATATTAATGAGTTGCCGTCCCTCCAGGTGTACGGCTCCAGAAGTAACAACATGTGCATCATGAGCGGCCTGATGCAGATGATCAAAGAAGGCGGCGTGCGCTCACTGTGGCGAGGCAACGGCATCAACATTATCAAGATCGCGCCCGAGTCGGCCCTCAAGTTTATGGCGTACGAGCAGGTACGTCGCGGCGCGGTCCCCGCGCTCCCCCCGCCCGTACGTATGTGAAACGTGAGCCGGCTCACATTTCTGTCTGGTTCCCCGCCGGAGATCAAACGTCTGATAGGCAGGGCAAAAAAATCTAGATCAATGAGCATGATGGAAGGTGTCGAAGTGTCCATATTTGATTGACAGGTGCTGCATGGGCCTGCTGTCCGTAGCTCCCATTGATTGACAGCTACTTTGTGGGCGTGTCAGTATCTACGATTGATTGACACGTAACGAAGAGTTTTCAGTGCCAGTGTTTGATTGATGGGCGGTACCTGTGTGCCAACGGTGAGGTTTGACGGTCAGTTTATGCACGCCCATGATCAATTGACAGATCCTGTCTCAGCGGTTTGGGCGGGGGTTGACTGTCCGTGTTTGATTGACAGCTACCGCATGTCAGCCAGCGGCCATGACCGATTGACATGGGCCCGCTGGAAGGGGCGTCTGTGTCTGTTATTTGGCTGACGGCGTCTGCAAAGGGCATACCAAGCGACTATTTGACTGGCAGATGTTGCATCGGCGTGCCCCTGCCTGCAAGCGACGAAACGATGATGTCATAAAGTCCAGCCGACTGGAGGCCAGCG